CTATATTGGGTTGCACATTATGTACTTGTAAGAAATCTAGTGTGAATACATGCAGTTTTGGCAGCATTGTGTTTAGATTAAGGTATGCAATACCGTACCGTATCGGTATTTCGAGGTTGGCTCGGTACGGTATGATACCGTGTACCGCTCAGTACACCAGGGCATACCGAGTGATTTTAAATATTTTTCTCTTACTGTAGTACTGTAGCAGTGCTACAGTGCAATACTGTAGTACGTTCCGTTCGATAGCGAGCGGTCCGCATACCGATATGCCGTCGGACTGATATGTACCGCCAGTACCAGGCAGTACTATTCGAAATTGCATACCATGGTTTAGATATAGGCAGTAGCACACATACTTTTTGTTATTCATCCCTCCTTTCATGGTATTGTTAAGCTATTTTTATAGACAGGATACGAAAGAAAGGAAGCTAACTCTTTTACAAGCCATAGCAACTAAAAGTAGCCCCTCAGATACTCCAGTGACTCCCATATTCTCAGCACTAGAAGGTTAGGCAGTTGGAGAATGATCAGCAAGGTGGCGATGCCAAAGAGAGAATCAAGCACAGTAACAGGTAAGTATTTACATTCTCTTGTTCTCTATGGATAATACTCCTTTGTTTTCTCCCTTCTTCTATCTTAATCAAGCATGGTTCAGACTAAGTTTTAAATATCCATTCACAACCCAAAAAGATTAATAAAATCTTTTACGAAATTCATTTTTTCACATTTTTTCTGTTGTTTTAACTTTTTAGTTTGTGCTTCAGCACAAGATGCTGAATATTTACCATCCTGGCAGCTAGATGGCATTACCCATGCTGAAGAAACTAAAAACTTGGTTTTGCTCCAAACATATCACAGCTGCCATATCCTAAAACCAATTTCTGAAGGGAAACCAGAGTTAAAAACAGTTGTAAAATCAACCTATCCTACATCTAACTCACTCTCAACGATTATCATCAGGAAGGAACTTGGACCAGTGAATGCTTTAATCATTCTATCCACTATTAAGTAATAACAGAAACTACAAAAAAGTAAAATCTACAATGTCGATTCAAATATAACCCTAGTTGACTAAATAAACCCTTACAAAGTCTGAGAAGTTCTGAAACAGAGGTTGCACGTCAATTGATTGATTTCTAACACACTTTCATATACAAAAAGAAAGTAGCATTGCACTAAATTCTTTATGTTATTGGTGCTTTGCTTTTCTTTCATTGGTACAAAAGCAAAAAAAAAAGTGACTCAAAATAATCAACATAAGAAACACATGATGTCCCAACAACAAGACAAGAACAACAAGAAGTCATTGATGCTTACATTGCACTAAGTTCTTTATGTTATTGGTGCTTTGCTTTTCTTTCATTGGTACAAAAGCAAAAAAAAAAAGTGACTCAAAATAATCAACATAAGAAACACATGATGTCCCAACAGCAAGTCAGCAACAAAGACAAGAACAACAAGAAGTCATATCCCAATTATTCTATCTTCATTATACCGAACTTTCCTGCATTATTTTCTGTTACCTGACATTCAGGTTGCCCAACTCTTTCAGGAAATCCACCCTTGATTCTTGCTGCAGCAATAGCCTGACAATTAACAGGATCTAATAAGGACTATCGGTTTTGATGAACTCAAACCATGACTACATCCAAATCATGTGCAAAGTAAGGTCATATTCCAAACACAAAACCAAAAGGAAGAAACCAAAGGAATATATATAGTAGATGTTGACAAAAATGCAGAGAAAAAATGAGAAACAACCATCATCAACACTAAATATCCATCCATGTACTTACTGAGACTGATCTGAGCTACTGACAAAGTGGTTAATAAGTTCGAGAAAAAGAAAAAGAACATTTCTTTTTAACATTGAGTCCAATACTCTTCTCCTGTTTTTCAGTTAATTGACTCTTTGTTGCAAAGTCAAACAAGATATTAAAACAATATCACCATGTTCCCTCTTAAAATCAGACATCGTTGTACTTAAATGAAAAGCATTTTGTTGTCCACCAAGATAGCCTTGTTCCAGTCCTACTAAACATGCATCTTGCAGACCTTTACATCCAAACCTATTGCCACCATTAAGTTTCCGAAAAACTTTACATATATCATTCCAAAATCAATTATCCAAATTTGTGGTGATTCAAATAAACATCATATATCACATTATTAATTCAATAAAGTACTAGAAAAACTGGCATAACTAAAAAGCTGAACACGAACGCTGACAACATCTCACAATGATTCTTTGACGCCGTCCAATCTTTCATTCACCTAGATGTGGGGGTGGTCCACATCATAGACATCAGCACCAATTATGACATCATAGACATCACCTACATAGAAATGGCTCTAAAGAATAAATGCAACCAAACATAGTTTAAAATTTTGCGTGATCAGCACAATTATGATATGGACTGTCTAAACTGATGCTTATTAATTCTCTAAGACATGAACAGTCAAACCATGTCCCATGATGAAGGTTAAAATTGAACGATGGGGAGGTCTTTTGCATTTTTTGCTTAAAAATCATGATATTAACGAACAAACACAAACTTGAGAACAGGTGTGGAGTGCTATGTTGATGCAAAAAGTGTTACAACAAGTGGACCTGATTGCCAGTTCATTAAAGTATCTATGGCGCAAGCTTCTATATCTATTTCATAATGAATGAATAGACCCACTGTTAAAGTACAAAATAAACTACAGCATCAGCATCTTATAAAAAATGGCCTTATATATACATACAGAGCAAGTGAAGAAGAGTTTGTTTGCAGGAATGTCAAAAGTAAAAGCGGAGCAGTGCCTAGAATCATATAGCTTAAAATAACGAGTAATGACTTTCACACTAAAATAACTTTGAACCATCTCACTCTTCATACTTGGATACAGACAAAACTGGCTACAACCACCATAATGTCATTTGTGTTCAAGAAGAAAAAGTTCCTCGAGGTGCATAAGAAACAGTCAGATAAGTCAGGTTTACCATCTGCCTATTTGGAGGATGATTGTATCTACAAGTCATCCCAAATCTGCAGAGGCCAGTCCTGAGGTAATAAGTACAGTCTGGCTCTCCCGGACGCTCTGGATATGGTCCAGATTCCATGGATTCAATCTCTCTCAAGCTCATCTGCCACATTGTCTCTGCACTTGCAAAAAAAGCTGAGGATTAGAAGAAGCCTAGAACGGATATCATGGCAACTACAGCCCATAGAGAAGCAAAAACAAATGGTTCACTAAGGCTCGGAATATAGATAACGACGTGTTGGTATACAAATTGCTAAAACGCAATTGTAATGTGCGATGCAAGAATTTTCTTCACAAAAATAAATCATAAATCATCAAAGCTCATGAAGGATAATAGGAAGGCGATAAAAAGGACTTGAAATGCCACACACAGAACACCATTCTGCCTCCACAGCCAACCTCGAGAACACCAAACATGGACACCAAAAGAAAGATCAGAAAAGAATGCAAGAATTAGCACGGCAACAACGGCCAACAACGGAACAAAACAGCACAACCAAGACAACGAGCATTGCGGCTTCCTACAAAGACAAGCCGCCAGTCCCCGAGCTCGATTCGGCAAGCTCGGATCGCCAACCCCACACCCAGACCCTCCGATCCCAGGGCCCGAGACCCTCCCACACCAAGAACCAATCATCGTGACGAATCAAAAGAGAGGGGAACCCGAGAAGCCGCGACCGGCACAGCAAACCCTAGCCCTAACCCACCCTGACCTCCATCGATGGTGGGCCGGAGCGGCAGGGAGGAGGCGGCCTCCGTCACGGGCGCGGAGGGTCCCGCTCTGGCGCCCCCGCGCATGTGGACCCCGGCGGCGGTGGCAGCGTCGTAGTCCATGGCCGGGCGGCCATCAATCAGGGGCGGATCGGGAGCGTCGGGGACGGGGCTCCCATTGCGGCTGCGATCTCAGACGATGCGGAGAAGGGGAGAAGGCGAGGGAAGGGGAAGGGTGGGGAGGGGGAGTGGGAGGGAGAGGAGAGACTCCGTCCTCCACAAAGCGTGAGGAGGGGAATAAAAACCAACACCAACAACAACAGCCATCCGCTCCGACAGCCAGTCGTTTGCGGCTTCCTCCAGCCGCGCGATCAAAAGCCGCGGAATATTATTTAATTGCCCCTTTTTACGCTTCTGTCCTTGCAAACCTTCTATATACCGTATTTTCCCCTTTATTATTATTATTATTATTATTATTATTATTATTATTATTATTATTATAGAATGTTTAAAGGAAGTTAATGCAAATTTTGTACTAAAATTAATTACAAGTATGTATATATATATATGTCAAATTCGAATAAAAAAGGGAATATTTGGGTTACTTCTGTCATTTAATTTTATATAATAGATTAAATATTGTTATTGTTGTATGATTTTAAAGGATATTTGACATCAAGTTTGTATTAAAATTATATTTTGTATAATAAAAAGACAAAAGGATACTTGACTTTTTAGGTAAATCTTCCAATACAAATTAAAAATAAAAAAATAAAATAAAATTATATACTACTTTTGTTTTTTTTATCATGAATAAAAACAAAGATTTTTTAGGCCTATGGTCCACTCAAGTGTTCATTCTCTTTCGGGAGAACCTACTTTTTTGTAATATATTAAAAGTAATATATCTAATGAAACATAACATATTATTTGTACTTTAATGTAATACATAATTAATAAATATAATTTTGACAAAAATATTTACAGCGATTTTTTTAAAATGATTTAATGTAAATCATATATAAAAAAAGGGGAAATAATAATAATAATAATAAATAAAAAAATAAATAAATAAATAAAGCTCTTCAATTGTTGGGTCGGGCCCAGACCGGTCCAGTCCAGTATGGCCCGGTCGAATCAGACCGACAACGACATAAAGCCCTAATGCCGCCGTACACGAAGAACACCGCCATGGTAGCTCCTCCCTTTGGCGCGCCCGCCCCGGAGTCCTCCTCCTCTTGTGGCCGTAACCGGTAACTAATCTCTCCCGTTCGATGATTTGCTGCTTCAATATTATGTTGTATCGAGTTTCTCAATAAAGATCGGAGTTTGATCGGAAGACCGAAGGAAATGGTGTATCCCAATCGAGCGCATTTGGTACTTCGTGACGTGGAGAACAAACAGAATCCTTTCAGTGAGAAGCTTGTGTTGCTTATGGGATCACCAGTGCTCCCTTTGGATTGAGGCTGCCATGAAGCTGCATGTAGGGACGTAATTATTGTAGATGTGCATAGGTGGGAAGGGCTCCCGTGGAGATTACTGGTAATAGAGCAGCCATTGACTTTGCCTACCGATCCTGACAACGCGATCTTACTTTCGGAGGATTAGCCTCCTTAGCACAGCATTTTCAGTACTGATTCTTGGAACTACAAAATTAGACAAAAAGTATCAAGCAAAATGGTGGGTATTTTGGTATGCTTGGGTATGAAACTTTTAACATCTAGGAAATTGACGATTACAATTAAGTCACAGTGTGATTGTAGTGAGACGACTGGAAGTATGGTGGTTTAGCATTACTTCTATCATATATAGTTAGTACAACATGTATGTTGAACTTTATGTGTATCGATCTTCTTTATAGTAAATTGTAATGACTATGTACTCTTTTGTAGCAGCATTTCTAATCTTCATGTGTACCTGGGGCTTGCTTAATTATCTTAATCAAAACAGAGTTTTTTTAATCTATTCCAACACTCAGATTAGAAGTCTCAAGAAGCTGATTCCTTGTGACATATAATGTGGTATTTATTTATTGTCCCTCTCTATTTTATGCTACTGTGAATTCTTCTTTATGTCATACATGGTAGTTGTGCCATTTTTCATAATCTTTAGAAAATTGCATTTAGAAAAGATGAATATTAACAAATTAAACTCTTCTTAACACAGATGAATTGGATGCGCGGGTGCATTGATGCATGGAAGTTGTTTCCATAGGCCTTTTAACAAATTAACTTGTGGTTAGTCCTAAAGCAGTATATGGTATGCTGTGAATTGTCAGTGGCCTTGGGGCATCGACAATTTGATATCATTTTTTGATGTGATTTTGACACGTACCATTCTTATCCAAACTAAAGGGCATACAAGAACCTCTTGGAAGGAAAGACCCCGTAAGGGGATAATGACTTCACTCATGCTTAAGTTGCATGTCACTGTTTCACACTTTTCTTTAGGAATGTGTCGTATGTCATCAAGGTCAAAGGTACTTGCTGTTCCTAAAAGCAAACTAAGATCCGGTAAGTCCTGATGTACCTTGAAGGAACCCATGAGGAACACTGAAGGCCTTTTCTACAAAACTAGGAATGCGGATTTACTTTTGGTGTAACTGTCAGTGGTTTTTTCAGTACCTTCTATCATTTATTATTTGTCTATAGAATTCATCACAGACCACAAATAAAGTCTCTTCGGATACTTTTCTTTCTAATCAGTCCAATTCATCATATGTTGCACTTGGTGATGGCTATAATCTTGATCATTATAACCGCTCATCATTTTTACATCATAGCAGAAGTGAAAGATGAAAACCTGTTGGACTACTACTTGCAAAATAGCATTTTGACAAAGTTGATGAAGCGTTGTTCACATTGCTGGATGGTACGTGCACATCACAACAAGAGTAGCATGAAAACATGTTGGACTACCTGCAAAGCACCATTTTAGCACACTCGATAATGTCATGGTTTAAAATATCAGTTGTACTGACATGTTCCTGTTGGTAGTTACCAGTCCGATCGAGCATAGGTAACGTACAACTCATAATACCTCTTTCTCTACCTTTATTTTATTATTTTATCAATGATGATGGGTAATATAAGTTGATAGATCACTTTGTGTCACAGAATTATACCATTTTATATAACATTACAGTATTGTTCTGATGGGTAGTCGAAACTGGTCTTTAAAACCTTTTATGAATCACAATAGTCATGACCCTGTTCTGTATTTCTAATTTAGAATTTTTATTTTGGTGTACTTTGTATTCAGGGAAGAAAAGGAAACAAGGATAAGTATCTTCTTGGCAATGAGGAGTGGGAAAAAGTTTCATGGCTTGCTGTCAGGACTGCCCTTACAACTGGAACTCTTGTGGATGCTGAACCGACGAATCAAACCACTTCATTACACCTCCCCTTTTCTGTCTCACCCAACATGGGTGACTCCTGCATCTAAAACCATTCATGCTTGCTAACAAAGCCAACATCACTTCTTACATGCTCATGACCATCCCTCTCATTTTCTTCCCCTCCTAGTCCATGCTGTATTCCTCTCTCTCCTCTTTCATTCATGAAGCGCTTCATTAGAGACCAATCGATGGATAGGTTCATCATCCTCCCGTTCTATTGTTCCTTTTGGTTTGTATTGTGAAACCCTGTAAGCCTAATCATCGCCCTGTATTGTTGAAGGTGGAGATGGTGAGATGCAATCCACCGGAAAGCTCAAGAACTCACTCACTGCAGGGTTTGAGAAGCTGATCAAGAGCTTGTCCCAGTATTTTGTGCTTTACCAGGGAGAGGACAAAGAGGTGGGGATGGAGATTGGATTTCTCACTGATGTGGAGCATGCTGCTCCTATAGGCCGTGAAGGATTCGACTCTCCAGAGTTCCTTTCCTTTTCATTGAAGCAGTTTGAGCTGGCCATGGTAGCACATGTTGGTGCCTCTCCAACTCATGGTCCCCATGAGGTGCTTCTCACTTGAACACCTTGGGTTCTTGTGTTTCTCGCAGTCTGTTGCTTGTGGTGATAGAGAGGGGAAGCATGTGAACTTGTATAGCTTGCTGTGACATGAGAATCTATCGACATTTTCTGGTTCCTTTTGTCTCAGTGCGAACTTGGTATCAGATCATTGAGTGCGATGAGGGTTATCTTCAGGCTTGTGACCACAGAGATAACAACCACTTGACTGGTGATCGTCATGTCACCTTCCCCATCAAATCTTTTCATATGACATTCCTGTTTAGTCCTTATATCATTGGACTTAGTGACCTATCAAGTTAATGAATCAATCACCCCCGCCCCGAAATCTAATATTTAAGACGAGAGAAGGGAACTATGTAAAATAATTTTTCTATCACATGTAAAATTACACATGCATTATTAATTAAAATAAGATATCGTAAAAATATGATCTCGAATCTTTTTCCGACATCTCCCTCGGCTTAAATATCAAATATTAATTTCTATCTAATAACGAAATCCTACTTGAATGGTTTTTGTTGGGGAACGAATGTGTCGTGGCTGATGAGTCAGCACGGTTTGGTCCACGGGTCGATGTCGGGAGTCTCCTGTCGGCTGAGCTGATTGTCAGAGTCGACTAGATCCTCGAGTCAAGGGGTGGGTTGGTCGATGACTCGCCACGAGGGCATCGGTCCGCCTTTAGCCCCTCCGACGAGCAAGTCAGTAATCTCCCTTTTCCCTTTTTTTCCTCTCCCTTTTGGAGGCCGGGATAGAAGTCTTTATACTGTTGTGAGAGAGTCGGTCATACATGGATTAGCGTGGTGGACACAGCGCACGACATCGATATGGATTATGGCTCAGTGTGTGGGCTGTTGCCATCCCGGGGTTATCAGGACAAGACGCATCGAATAGTATAGTTGTGACGTGACGTGTGACATGTGACATGACATGTCCTAGGGGCATGCCTTATCAGTTTTTATATGAGATCATGTATTGTATTGCTATACACTTTTTTATTGATCACTAATATATATATATATATATATGCCTAATCGTATTTCTCGAAGTCATATTTTTTTCTGTAATTAAATGCAGTTAATATTAATAATAGTGTGGTACGACATTATTCTTTTTTTAGGGGCGTCACGGTAATTTAGGGTATCGACCGTTGAGAACGCGGTTCGGGGAACGGCGGAAGACTCGCTCCCGTTTCCGTTTCCGACAGCTCGAACGGTCCACGAGAATCGTAGGATATATCTCCTCTGCCTCCTCCCTCTTCTCTCTCTCCTCCGCTTGTAACGAAAGAGACTAAGAGCCCATTCCATCAACGGCGGGCCGATCCTCATAACCCGATCGTCGCTCTCCCTTCTCGTATGCCTCGATCCATTCTTGCTCGCTCGCTCGCTCGCTTGTTGTTCTCGTTCTAATCATGCTTCTTTCCCTTTTCGTGGGGATGAATAGGGAAGATGTAGGGGCTTAAGCTGTGTTCTGGAGAAAGGAATCCGATGCCCGCCAATCGCGGCCTGAAATCCTCCCCCAGGGGAAAAGATGATCCTGTCATCCTGATTTCTTGTTGCTGACCTCGACTGGCGCACTCTCTTGGTAGATTTTGGGCACTTCAGGGCCCGAGATCGATCCGAGTGCGCATTTTTTGGAGTTTTTGTAGCCGAAGATTGAAACTTGGATTGATGGAAGGAAGGGGGCTCCGGCGGAGCCTAACGCTCCCCGAGCAGCAGGCTGTGGTGCTCTCCTGTAATCTTGGGGACCTCCTCAAGGTCCAAGACGAGGACGAGGTGCGCCCCTCCTCCGCCGTCGCCGCGTGCGCGAAGAGGGGAGCCTCCTCCGCCTCCGGGGGTGGCGGTGGCGGGAGAACACTGCTCGACATCATGCGTGAGGAACCGGGGCCAAATGCGGTCGTCGTAGGCCGTAGTTCCGGCAACGGTATCAAGTGGAAGTCGTTCAAGGATCGCCTTCACCTCCGCCTCCGCCGCGCTGGCGCCGCCTGGGCGGTGTCGTGCACCCAGTTCAACCCCATGTCCTATCCCGAGCTCTTCGTTTCCGTCCACACCAACCCCGGATTCTCCCGACCGGTCTCCCGCTCAACTTCCATCCGCAACTCCGAACTCCCCGTTCCGGCATCTATCTCGGGCACCGAGAACAATCCTGCAGCCACGGACGCCGCCGCCGTGGATGCACCATCACCGCCAGAGGAGCATCCATCGGGCGCCGCGGGCAATGGAGAAAGCTCCGATCATGGGTCCACCACTACGGCGGCGGAGGAGGAGCCAGTGAGAGTCTCGCTGATGGCGCTGCTGGAGCAGACAGACAGACAGTGGAGCAGCGCAGGGGAGGGGTCCCCACCGGCAGCGGCACTGGCGGCGCTGTCGGAGGAGGAACCGGCGGCCGCGGAGGACGTCGGCGGAGGCATATTGCACGTGTGCTGCGTGTGCATGGTGCGGCACAAGGGGGCGGCGTTCATCCCCTGCGGCCACACCTTCTGCCGGATGTGCTCCCGGGAGCTCTGGGTGAACCGCGGCAGCTGCCCGCTCTGCAACGGCAACATCCTCGAGATCCTCGACATCTTCTAGCGCTCCCTGTCAACTCCGCCCACCATCGCCGCCGCCGCCACCACCACTCTGGTAATCTTACATATAAGATCATATCTCTAAAACTACTATTTTTCGTAATCAAACATAAGATTGATGGAAGTGATGGTGAATTTGCCCAGTGTTTGATGGAATGACCAATTTAATGCAGTGTACTGTTGTGAATGTGAAAGATTGAAGTCAACAATTTATGCTGCTGAAAGATGGTGACAATAATGTCTATTGTATACATGTTTTGCTGTTCTTATTCATGTTGTGGTGGTGCTTTTTAACCTCTGATGCAATACAGACCACATTGTCTTCCTCATTCTTCCATAAATTATGACAGGAAAGAACTCAAAATATGGACCACTGTTCTATCAGAAGCTTAAAACTTGTCAGCTGTCATAATGATGCAATGTAGAACACTCCAATAAAACAAGGATGATTGTAAGTGGTTGGGTTTGATGAACCTGTTTTTGTCTCACTACCCCATATAGAATAAACAACATTAAAGATGGGTAGGAGATGCAAAGAACAATTGGAACACAGGCAACCATTGCCTTTGTAAAGAACACACTAGCTATTCTGACACTATTTACTGTTTCATATTTCATACTGGAACATTAACCAATCCAAACCATTGCATGGTCCATCACTTGGCAGTGTCCTGTAATGTGGACCATGAATCAGATGAGCACTTTCTGCAGCTCTGAAGAGAACAATCCAAGCCAAACTGTTACATTTTATGATTGCCTCAGATCAACAAAGTGATTGGTTGTTGGGCTATTTCTTCCAATCAGGTCACTCACCTCTCTCATCAACTGTTTGAATAGCTATAGGTCCAAAAAGAATGACCACACAAGACTGATGCAAGTTGTCATCCCTAACTAAGCTTATAGTACAGAGAGGATAGAATTAAATAGAAGACTAACTGGGGCCTTGTAATCAAAACAGAGGAACAGTTTCATATGACCCCTTAGCAGTTGAAATCTCAGGTAAGGCTGCAAGTCAAAAGCTCCTCAACTCTTCTCCAAAGATTAGGAGGGACAGTTGGGCTACATTCTTCTTATTGTCAGTGCAGTCAGGAATTTGGTCAGTGATAGCATTGGATTCCATGTAACCCAGCAGAGACAAGAGGACTGTTGTGGTACCCACTTCAAGCTCAGTTGTTCAACAGACTGAATAATAGAATACAAGAGGATGAGTTAGCTGGATTTAAATTTTTTGATGAAATTTATTGTCAGTCATCTTCAGTTTAGAAAAAGATTATGCCATATCTGTTAAATATAATGATTTGTAATAATTTTTTTATTACATTATTTTCAATACATTCTAGATGATGATACAAGAACTTTCCCCAAAATGACTGGAGAGTGCTCATAGGAGACTTCCAAAATTGTTGTCAAAACTCTATGAAATGATAGCTGGCTTACTCCAAATGTAACAAATGTTGACTTCCATTTGAGGACAAGAATGTGAAGCTATGATGAAGGTGTTAAGGACTAAGAAATAACATCAAAGGAATAGGATGAGTAGAATGATATAAGCTGAAAACTTGGCAAGTTCTGTGAACTCCATCCAAATGTGCCATTAATGGTTTTGAACTGAAAGACTGAATAAAAGCATAATTATCATAATAGACTTCAAGCAACTTAGATGATAATTGTTAGTGATTAGTACAGACCTTAGCTTCTGTAGCTGAATCTTCACTTCATCTGGGATCATCCATGATGTTCCATAATAGCTAGTTACTAATCTTTTCAAACTAGACATTGAGGTATAAGAAAATAATTAACATAAATAAGCTTAGTATTGGTTTGGTTAAGTAAGAAGCTATACAAAACATTCACTCATCATGATAGAGCCATTTTTGGGTGCACTCTATAACAGTGTAATTTCCAAGAGAAAGGAAGCAAAATTTTGACCCACCTGCACACACCACTTGCAAGAAGGGGAACAAAGAAGATGTCCTCTAATTCAGACACAACCATGATCAGGTGTTTATATCTTCTATGATCAGCAAATTTTTGCTCTATCTGGAAGCATTTGGACCTCATCCATTCTGCACTTACGAGACCAAGTCATGGCCAAAAAGAATTCCCAAACTGAGTACAGGAAGGCGGATGAGAAGGTCCAAAACTTTGTCGACGAAGATTTGGTCTGCAAGACTAAAAAGATATTAAAAAAAAGAAAATTATGTAAATATAACTATATAAGACAGAATAATAAAGTTGCATAAGTATCTCTCTCCTCCTCTGCTTCTCTTCATGCTTAATGATGCATTATAGAAAATAATTTCTTCTAATTGTTATAATCCCAAAGATATAGCAACAGAGAGCAATTATGGTCTGAATTTGCTGTTCATTCTTGTATATCTGTAACTGATGAAATTAGAGGTTACTTTGAGGAAAAATCAAATTTTTTTAGTGGGATTACCTGAACAGATTCGTATGATGTGAAATGTTGGTAGTCAATATCACTGAAACATTATCTAATATATATGTTTTTATATGATTGAAAAAATAAATTTGACCAAAGTACAATAATAAAGTTGTTCTTTTACGATTGAAAAATGAGTTACGAAAATAATCTTTTTTATAATATTTAAAAATAAAATTACGTATATTGATCCTCGTTAAACCTCGCATTGATGGAAGCCCATATATTGGTCACGATAACATATATATTGGCCGTCAATCTTTATCATCGAACTATAACCAAAAATTGAATCGATCCAATTGAAATCAACATCCAACTTGGATAATCAAGTAATATTATTGAGCATTTTTATATTTTAAATTTATATAATTATATTATCTTTTTATTTTAAAAATATTTAACATAAAGTTCAATTAATTGACTTATAATTTAACTATTAAGCAATACTTGACCAAGTCTATATATATATATATATATATATGTGTGTATATGTATATATATATATGTATATATATGTATGTGTATGTGTATATATATGTATATATATACATATGTATATTTATATATATATATATAC